GCTGGAAGAGGAAATATATGAGAACTTCATGAGACTATCCTTTGCATCTCTTGAATAACTCTTGGGTACAGATTGCATCAATGACTTCAACTTTTTCATACGAGATGCCTGAGACATCAAAATTACTACAGTATACTGTTTTAAACAAGGGAACGACAAAATTCTTTGCAAGGCTAGTTGGATAGTTAATGGCGTTAAGATGCTTCTCACTTTGGAACATGCAGCATCTTGGATCTGCAAACTCAATAAATTCAAAATAAAGAAAACAACTGAAGTGTCTAGCATGGAGTATTTTCCTAGACAAGCCCGAAAGATGAATGTTTGCTATGAAATATTATCCATTTTTTTGTCAAATAAATTTCCGTCAACCCTACAGAATAAATAACACATCTAGTATTGAAGAGGAAGTTCTTCAACTCAACATGAACCAGAATGATTGAAAGAGCTCAACCTTATGCAAACCTGAATCTAGTCCCATCTGTGAAACAGAACTAGTATACATACTTGTAGCTACTGTTTCATAGGTTTTATCCAATCATCTTATACCACATTAGGCAGAAGGAGATAATTGTCATACAAGATGCTATCAACAAAGTCATTAAATCATAACATATTAGTTGACAGACAAGCTAACAAGGTAATACAATCAATTAACAAATTACTCCTAATTTTCTACCGAATTAAGCTAGAATTTATCTCAAAATGGAAGTCTCAAAAACTTACCATAAGTTGGTTAGAAGAATCAAAATTCAATCATACTACTATAAATAACTAGTTGTTATACAACTTATGACCAAATTGTCCAACTAAAGAAGAGAAAACAATTATATGCATATCATATGCCATTTATAATCATATACCAATTTTGAACAAATCCATTAATCACTTAAATTATACCATAATTAAGCCATTTTCTAATAATAATCAGCTAGTTACTCCAATTATTTTCCAAAATCAAACATTCAATTAACAAAAAAAATAATCAATGATTAAATTACGCATACAAATTATTTTCTAATTTGAATAAGGAACAAGTTGGTTAACAAAAGGGATTTAAAGCGGACCATCGCCAAAATGAATGAATAGATAGCAATAATCAGTCAAGCATATGAGTAACAAGATAACAGTAAGCAGTCTTAAACAAATAAATTAAACTTTAGCAGAAAAGTATATGAACAAGTAAGCGTTAACAAAATGACATTAAAGGGACCTACCTGGATGGATCCTTAGCTTAATTCGAAAAATTTACCGGAACTTTTAGTTTGTTTCTTCGTATTCATAGTTGTTGGCCGAAGCTTTAATGCTCTTGCCGTTATCCTCCTCGAACTCGCGTGGAGTCGCAGTTGCTGGTCGGAAAAAAGAGAAGATGGAGGCAGCAACTGTTGTCCATTTGGAACTGCGCCATTATTTTCTCCTGGGTGTCGCCGGCATTTGCTGATGTTGCTCGCTGGAGCTGGCTGTTGCCGATGCTCACCATCGCTGCTCGCTGCGTGGAGTTGATGTTGCTGACGATTTTCGCCCGAGAGGGAGGCAACTGGTGGCACCATCTCCGTGCTGCTGCTGTTGCCGGACGGAGACCGTCTGGTCGCCTGGTTGCTCGCCGATTAAAGTTGTTGCCAGCATTGGAGGTTCGCTGGTGGTCTTTGCACGCCTGCCGGAGCTCTCCATTGTTGTTCTCTACTCATTCTCCAGGCTGCACTGCCCAGAATGAAGAACGGAAATGAGGGAAAAAGGGGTCTGGGCGGCGGATTTGGTGAAGAGGAGAGGAGAAAGAAAAAAATTAGGGGTTTGGGGTCTTTTGTATAAATAGGAAAGCAAGGGTCTTAAATCAGGACCATTGATCAAATTCGGATGAGAGGATGAGATTGACTCTTGGAGTTTGATGAATCATGATGGACGGATGAGATTAAATAAGAGTAGTTAAAATCTGAAATTGAAGCTTGCAACGAAATAAGTGACAGATTCTAACATCCGTCGCTTTCAAATAAATATATATATTTAGAAAAAATTATATTGATGGATATTTTCGTCACTATATAATATAATTTTTATAAAAATATATTTAATAGTTTAGCAACCTTTTTTCCGTCACTAATTCCGTCGCCCAATATTAATTAAATTTGTCACCACTACTTTGTTACTAAATCCGTAGGGAAAATTAGGCGCCAATATTTAGCAACGGATTAAATAGTCTGTTGCAAATCTGTTGCTATATTATAAATCAAAAAATCATTTGTTAATTTTGCAACAAAATGGTTATTCCGTCGCAAATCCATCGTTATATAGTGACGGAATATTGTTCGTCGCTATCTGTCTCTAAACGCTGTTTTTTTAGTAGTGATATACAAGTAAATATTTTATTTTTTTGGTATTAATTGGCGCCACACTTCAAAAAACGAGCGCTTCGCCGCTCGCCTCGCCTTGTGGCGAGGCAGACCCTTGTCACATTTCATCACCTTCATTGTCCAAAACATTGTCCTAGAGGCAATCATACAACTACATTTGCACATGAACAATCTTTTTTTCATAAATCAATGTAATTTCTTGTGTGTCCACTTATGTTGCTGCTTCAAGGCATTCAACTTGTTGTACAATGACACTTTGCCTTGTAATTATTTAGTCACTCAAGCTGGACGAGTTCAAACAAAATTGTAGTATTAGGCAAAATTCATTGCCGATGCTATTTTTTATAACTGTGGTGTTAGCAGTATTCTTAAAGGCAAGTGCCTTTTGCCTTTGGCGTAGCGTGGCGAGGGGTCTGTGCCTATTTCTGGCGAGGCGTGGCGAGGTCAAAAAGGCGAGCCACGGCAACTCGGTGACATGGAATGGCGATGCAATAGGCGTCCTTTTTGAATTTTTTTTTTTTAAAGTCTGAATTTTAATAATTAAAGCCAAATTAGGGTTTTTTTAGGGTTTTTTTTGAAATTTGATGTCGCGACTGCTCGTTCTCACATCGCGACTGGAAACTTGAAATCAATACCTCGACTGGAATTAGAGTTCGCGACCACTGCTGCTGCTGCGAGTTTGACTGGAAACTTGAAGTCGCGAGTCGCGCCTGCTGCTGCTGCGAGTTCGCGACGACTGCTGCTGCGAGTTCTCTCTTCTCTTACGTGAGTCGTGACTTCTCTCTTCTCTTCTTTTTTCGAATGTCTCTTCTCTTCTTTTCTCGAATCATTTTGGTAGATGAAGAGCTTAGATAGGTGGTGGAGTTAGGAGGATCATTGACAGGGTTTTGACGATCATGCTTATTATTGGAGGACTTACTTTGAACATTGTTAGTGCTTATGCGCCGCAAGTGGGCTTGAAGGAGGAGGTCAAGAAGCGCTATTGGGAGGATTTGGATGAGGTGGTGAGGGGTATACCACATTTCGTTATGCTATTCATTGACAAAGGTTTCAATGGTCACATTGGATAAACCAGTAGCTGTTTGGACAATGTGCTTGCTGGTTTTGGTTAGGGGTTAAAAACGGAAGAGGCTTTTGGATTTTGCTAAAGCTTCTGAGTTGGTGATAGCTAATTTATGCTTCTCGAAGGAGGTTCACTTGGTTACCTTTTGTAGCAGGGTGGCCAGAACTCGGATTGATTACTTACTCCTTTGGAAAGGCGATGAAGGCCTTTGTAAGGACTGCAAGGTTATCCCAAGTGAAAATCTCACTACCCAACATAAACTTTTGATGATGGACTTGGGGATTAAAAGGGAGGGGAAAAAGACTTTGTATGACCGACCGAGAATTAAATGGGGTGGCTTGACCCCTGTAAGAGCTTGGGAGATGAGGGAGAAGTTAGAAGTGATGGAGGCTTGGGGGAGTAGTGGTGATGCAGATAACATATGGGATAAGATAGCTAGTTGCATTAGAGAAGAAGCTAGAGAAATGTACTGTGGTGTATGTTATTCACAGAGGACAAAGTATTGATCAGTGAGACGTGCGACAAAGTTAATGATAGATTAGAGATATGGAGACAAACTCTTGAGTCTATAGGCTTTAGGTTGAGCACATAAAACAAAAAACATAGAGTGCAAGTTTAGTGTCGCATCACAGGAGGTGGATGGGGACTTAATGATTGATTTACAAGACATCTCCAAGAAAGAAACCTTTAGATATCTATAAGTCAAAGAAATGGGGATATCAAGCTCGCATTTCGGTGTCCTATGTGGTAAGAAAGTGAAGGTAAGTTCTATAGAGTGGTTGTTAGACTGACTATGATGTGGGTGGGATGTTGGCCAGTTGAGAATCTCACCTTTAGAAGATGAAGGTCGTAGAAATGATGATGGTTAGATGAATGTGCGGTCATACTAGAAGAGACAAGATAACAGAATGAAGATATACGGGGAAAGGTAGGAGTAGCTGCCGTGGTGGACAAGATGTGGGGAGCAAGACTGAGATTGACCCAAAAATAATTTTGGGGAAGTGATTCGACAAGACAGGACTCATTTGCAGATCGTCGAGAACATGTTCCTACATAGGAAAGTGGGGAGGTCGAGGATTATAGTAGATGGTTAGTAGATAATAGAGTGTTTTCTAATAGTTCTGGTTGAGCAGGGTCCTAGATTGAAGCTTTTGTCTATTCCTGTTCCAATATTATTACTAGTATGCTAACATTATCTTATCCTTCAATTTTGTTACTACTATTGTTTCTCTTACTTCGGTTATCCTTAATATTTGTACTGTCTATATATTTATTTCTTTAGTATTTTCATCTTAACATTTTAATCTTGCCTTCTTTCAAACCTTTTTTGGAAATGATTTTCTTGATCCAAGGGTTTATTGGAAGCAACCTCTTTACCCTGCTAGGGTAGGGATAAGGTCTGCATATATCCACCCTTCCCAACCCCACTTGTGGAAATATAGTTGTTATCATCCTTTTGTCATTCAATATATATGACACAATTCCATCTCTTGTTTATATTTGTGTTAGCTACTCTATTTTCTTGATGGTGAAGAGCTCCCTCCGTGTTACTCTGGCAACTTATCAGTCAACCTGGTTTTGTTTTTGCTTTGCAGTAATACATTGGTGAGTGCTATCACCACTTGTCCAATAGTAATTCAGTGCAGAAGTTGGCATTGGAGCTATTATCTTAAATGGGTCGGGTTGCTTCGACTGAATGCAACAGACAGGGACCAGATTACTTTGGGCTTTTTGCATCTGAGGTGGCTGAGTTAATTTCTCAGGATGAAGATTTTCTTCCAATTTCAGATCAGATATTTGAGAAAAATGGGAAAGTAAATGGTGCTGTCGAAGAAAAGAATAGTAGTATGAATAGCTATATCGCCAAAGAGTTTAGATATACCGGTGGTTCTGCTTCCTTATTTTCGGATTGTTTTGGATCTCATGTTTCAAACTTCGGAATGGAAAGATTGAAGTTGTTGCTTCGGCAAAGTATTGTTGCCCTTTCACAGGAAGTTGACGAGGTATACACTATCCACTTTTCCCTTCACCTACATTGCACATGACTCAAAATTCTCCCTATACTTGCCTATTTCTAGAATGAGTGTTAGTTTTATACTCTCTTCTTTTCATATTAGTTGGCCTCAACTAAAAATAGCTGTTTCAATTTTTGAGACCGCGAGGATTTTATTATATTTTTTTCTTTCTACCCTCAGTATTGAATAACAACATAAAGTAGTAGTAGTCAAATTTAAAATTCCAAAACATCATTAATAAGGTTAGTTTAGTAAAATACACCTCTAACTAAAGCTTTCTTAAGGGGTGTGTCAGGTTTATAGGGGACAAGTAATATAAAACAGAGAGAATAGTTTTATGATATATGAATCATTTATTCTGAGCATGTATTTGTGGTAAGAAATGGGGTCTCAGCGCCTGTGCCAATATAGTTGTGGAAGTGGTCATTTCTTTCCAGTCAATGGTTCTCCTCTTTGCTCCTAAAGATGTAACAATAGCAAAGGATAAATGTTAGATGTGCCAGTATGTGAGTTGTGTGATCATTTCTAAGCAAAGAATATACAAATAATGATAGAAAGCCTGCTGAATTTCTCAATAATTATTTGGATGGATTATATTAATATAATTTTCACACTGGAAATTTAAATGTAGATTCTGGATCCTGTATTTTCCATATGTCAGTTGCGGTCATGCCTAAGGTATAAAGAAAGTTTATTAGCTATACCTGGTGCTGTATCTGACTCTGATCAAGGGAACCGCCCTCAGAAGAAGCTCAAAGCATCCCCTATTTCAGTAAGTGGTTTCATGTTTTTTTAAGAATTAGCAAGTGTGTTCATGTTTCATTTAGGACATGCTATCTTTTGGTAACGTCTGTTCAATTTTCAAAAGAAATCTGAGGCTTAACATTACAGGTTACTTGTACAGAATGTAGTAGTTGTTTTAAAAAAGTGACCCATAAACGTCCCTGTATTAGGAGTCTTTTAATAATCTTTCGGCCATATATTTTGTTGAGATATGCTCTCCAAACTTCAGTTCAGTGGTAAGAGGGCAACGCCTAATGTGAGTTAGATGCATGTCATGAGTTCGAAATCTTATCTCTAAAAGCCTGATGTATAAGTGAAGAAGGGTAAAAGGGCAAGCCTGTTGTCCACCAAGTTTTGGACCGTGCACCTAGGTGGCTTTTGGAGATTTCTTGATTATAAAAAATTGTTGAGATTTGTTCTTCTTTTCTGTGAATTTGGTAAAAAAGAAGCAGAAATGATAATTCTTTTTTGAGCTGTAAATATTTGTAATTAGGGAGCATAAACTTCTTTCCAATGCCTTAACCAATTTATCCAGGAGAGCGTGACTTGAAGCTTAACTATACGTGTTAATACGGTTGGTTCGGACCAAACACCACCCATTAAGTGGATGGTCTGTAGGCCGCCGGTTCAAGCACTCTCTAAACATGCCTTCACGAGCTAGGTTACTCGTGTGAACTGTGAAGTGGAAGAAGCAATCAACCCAGGCCCCTTATTAAATGAATTAGACAGGGCAAGGCTGGGGTTATTTCAGGCTTTTGACTAGCCAATTCTTGTCCTTCGATTTTTGTTACTATTTGTTGTTTCTTGTACTTCTAGTACTGTGTCATTTGTTGTAGGTACTGTTCCTTTTTTAGAATGCTTTGACATGCTTTCATAGTATTTTGCCATGGCTTTTTGCTTCCGCTATCTCTTTTCCTCACCTACTTTGAAATGCTTTTTCTTGAGATGAGGGTCTATCGTAATAACCTCTCTACCATAGGGGTAAGGTCTATGTACACTCTACCCTCCCCAGGCCCCACTTGTGGGAATACTAACATTAGGTATGTTGTTGGTGACTAGCCAATTCTTTATAATAATCTTTTGACTAACTTGTTTTTAAATGATAAGCTAAAATTCGTTTTGCATGATTCAGTCCTTATCTATCCAGCAAGGAATAAAAAGTAGTATTAAACGGGTCGGGCAAAAGAAGATATTAGAGCAGTACTTGATAAGTTAGTATGATGGAAAAGAGTCCCAACCTGAACTTCAGTGGCTATAATGCTAAACAAAAACTTGTGTTATGTTAAGACTTCATATTTTGGTGTGGTTGGGTGATGGGAATTCCTTCCTGCCCTCCGAACAGACCTGAGGGTCTTCCTTCATCCAGCTATCTATTGGTGAAACAATTCACTGCCTCAGTCTCACCCCACATTTTGGCTTTATTTACAGAAATGTATTTGACACTTTCTTTGACTCCTTATTGACTCCTTATATGTAGGATTCAAAAAGAGAAAACTTGAATATCTCGCCATCTAGAGGAGATACAACGAATGATGTTAAAAAACTTGACGGTGAACAGGTAAAAGAATCCCTTGCAAAGAAGGATCAAAATGAATTTGGTTCAAATGCTGGAGAAACTCCTGAAGACGGGGATGTAAGATCCATCTCTCTCTCTCTCTCTCTCTCTGGTGCATTTTTCTAGGCTTGCTTTGTTCTCTTTGTCGAGTTTTACTGGTTAAGAATAAAGCTTCGATTATTAAACTGAACTAACATTTTCGCTATGCTTTTGCTGCTTAGAATGTTGAACTGATGTAGTTGCAAAGAAATGATTCATCACTTTAGTTCCTGTTTTCCAGGTCCACAATGATTTGCAGTTTTTGCTACAAAATGATAGCGCAAAGGTTGAGAGTCTGATAGAGAAGCATTGTGATGAACTTGTATCGACGGTAACTTGGCTGGAGCTTGATTCTCTCTCTATCAGGAGTTTTATTAGTAAATTTGTTAGCTATATCTAATCTGTGGTTGGACAATATGCCAGCTTGGGTACATGGAGGAGAGGCTTGAAGAACTTCTTGATATTGTTATGTCGAATTGCAGGTATTTCACAACAAATTGGAAGTTGAATTATTTGCTGTTCCCATTTTAGTATGTTTTGTTAGTTCTTTTATACTTGGAATATTTGATACATGAAGATTTTAAGTTCTCATTTCAAAATTTGTTTCGTTTTATTGTTGTTTTCGTTTCTGTTTTGTTTGTTTGGCGTATAAGAACCTTAGGAAGCTGAATTTTAACAAGTTGGATTGGCTTTGCTTCTAAATCTTCTCTGAAACCTAAACTTCTTAGAAGATTCAAAACAAGATTATAATTTGTTTGATATAATGCTTGATACAATACATTTTTTATCCATTTCATACTTCATAAAATAAATTATCTCTGACATTATTCAACTCCTACAACACAGCCTTTAGATTGAGAAAGAGTCTAAAATGTCCGAGGTTAAAAAAGTATGACAATTTTATACTTTGTCTAAATTTAGTAGTGGGATCCATGTTGTTCTTTTCTATTTCTGTTTTATATTCTCTGATAAATATTCTGTTATAGATCTGAAGGAATAGAGTAACAGAGCAACTCCTTTTAATCCCTGTAATTTTGTCAGCATCTTCTTGATGCCTTTTAATGAAATTCTTCTTCATAGAAAAAAAGAGAAAGAAGTAAAAATTTGGGAAGAAGGATTCGTTGGTGTTCAGTGACTGACAAGTGTAGAAAGCAGTGTGTGTATAAAGGTTACAACTGTGTGAGTGCCTTAATGTATCTGAATGTTTGGCCTTGTTACAACTACAATATGTTGCCCAGGTTTATTACACCCAATTAGAGGCCGGGCTTTGTTGTTAATTCCTTGCACTTCTGAAGCCAAGTAAATTTCTGTCCATTATAAGCATGACAGAATTAGAAGCCTAACTCATGCAAAAAATAATTTAGAAGTCAATAGTAGAATATCTTGTAGATTTTTTGGGCTGCTGTAGTTCAGTGGTGGAGCATCTACTTGTAAATTAGAGGTCTGTAGTTTGATCCTGCAGGGCAGGGTCTAATTCCTCCATTGTTATTTTAGAAGGACCTCAAATAGGGAAGAATGATTAAAGAGTATCCATATGGCAGATCCTAATTAATTTGGTATTTATGCGAAGTTGATTAATTGTTGTCGTATAGTACGTGAGATCTCGGAATTTTATGTTGGCTTGTTGCTCGTCGGATTTGTCCTGAAACTTTGCTATGGATTTTTCATTTGCCGTTGGCAGGTTAATGACCTTTCCTGAAAAACAACACCTTCGGCAGCTAATACGGGACCTTCCACCTAAGAATCTTGATCGTGTTGTCCAGATTTTCTGCCGTGGTAAGCAAGTGGAGAGACATTCCTGCAGTGAGGTGTATGTTGATCTAGAAAACGAGGTAAACATATTTATTTTTTTGCAATTGTGTTCTTAATTTCTCCAAGTTCCCGGTTTCTAAGTTCCCAATGGGTTATTGTAGGACAAAGCAACACTGTGGAGATTGTACTTCTACATTGAAACAGTTGAAAATGCTAAGAGACTTCGCGAGGTGTAATACTAAGTGGTGACAATTGACAATGCCCTTCATGAGACTTTGGGTCCTGATAGTTCTCAGTTATGGTCTTTAATGTTCACACGCTGCAGAAAGACTTAACCAAACTGTACATGGTGCACATCTTCTAGTTGAAAGAGATCTCTGGTGGTGATGCCATCGGGCTCTTAACATTTTTGTAGGCTAATGGTTGGTTGGTGTAGATAGAACTCAGCGTTGACACGATCACATATTCAATGGCTGTGTAGGGTGCCAGTCAGTTTTGGTGCCTTTGACATGTAGACGAACTAACTTTTGATGATTCAGGTTTCAACGATTGTAAATTGCATCATGGTTTGTTATGCACCAGGTGAAACTTTGTCATTAGTTACTGGTTTATCTAATTGAAGAGGTGTAATTGATGAGAGGCCAGTTTCATACACTTTGAGAAGCTTGACATTATAAATGTAAAACATAGCAAAAATTCTGATTATATAAAATATAAACCTTGTAGAAAGAAGCCAGTGAAAAAGTTGAATCCATATAAACGAATCTCTATTTACTTTAATTCTCCTGTAGATAAATATTCAAAACACAGGTATGGAGACTGTATGTAGCTTCAATTTTCTTAGAGAAGAAAACGAAACTTCACTTGCAAGTGGAGATGAAATTGATAAGAGTTTAGCGTGTTGTAAATTTATTGCAAATGAAATAATATAACAATTTTTTCTTCTTTCAAGTGTCATTCAAAGGTGAATAATATCCCAATTTAATAGATGAGAAATCACTAAGGTCACAAATATGAAGTGTCCAAATTAATAGATCTATTATAAATCTACAAAAAGGTTCATGTGTGTTTAGATACCCATTCAATGAATATATATTTAACTAACAAATTTAAATTAGTCATTGAATTAAAGAATGACAAATTTATCTTTGAGAAAAATCAGACATATCTCTGAATTTTGTGAGTGATCAAATATACTACTCATATTTGGATTTTTTTTAAAATCCAATGTAATTCCATAAGTCATGTATATAGATCCTACCTTTACTTTGTAGAGTAGAAAAGTTGTTTTTTATACACTCTTTGATCAAAAGAGAAGTTTTGCGAATTACCGTTACAAAAAAATATAACAACAAATAACAAGATATCCGGAAAATACAATAACAAATAGTAACATACATCGAACAATAATACACCATACGATTATAAAGAAATAAACTAGTGTAAGTCTATTAGGAGGAGCTAGCCCTTGTGGCCTTGCCTCCCTCGCAAAGTGCTACACCACTTGACTACTTCCAAATCTCTTATAGGGTCATGTCCTTAATAAATTAAAAATGTATCCATGTTTTGTCTAATCATCTCCCTTATTTCTATTTTAAAATGTTACTTTAAAAATAAAAAGAGAAACAAATAAAAATAATAATTTAAAAATAAATAAATCAGAGGTATATTAATTTTCTATTTTTAACAAAATAAATTAATGAAAGGTATCTTCTGAAATAATTTTAAGATATTTTTTACCTTTAAAAAAATAGCAATATACAAATGGAAATTCCATGCCGCCAAAATTTCCTTTTTGTTTTCTTCCATCCCTTTTTCTATTTATAGCAAATTTCATAAAATAGAAAAAAAAAACTGAGAAAAAGAAAAAGACAGGTTGGAATAGAAGGATTATTAGGCAGCTGAGTCAGTATCGTTAGATCTAAACAGTAACAAAATTTGTCGTGTTAAACACGTTTACTTCTGATTGGCTGAAATGACCAAAATTCCGCTTTAGCGCGTGACACTTAAAAGAAGCATTTTCCTAAAGCTTACCCCCACGCCTCCTTTGGTGGCCCTCCCTACCCTCAAGTTGCAGAATAATTCCATAAAATGAAAAGGAACACACTATGTAGAAAGATCCCACTTATTTTTATTCTCCCTTTTTTGAAAAATATGACAAATGATAAAAACTTATTTATATATCGTGATGTTTATATCAAATTAAATAATTTAATTTTTAATTATAAATTAAATTGAAGATATATAAATGAAAAAATAGATGATTTGTATTTATTGATTTGATAGAAAGATAGAATGTAAATAAATTTTATTTGACTCATTTTATCGTAAATTTAATTTGGTGTATGAATTTGAAAAATCAATTTGTTTGATATATGTAGACATCCCATCCGAAGGGTTGGACATACTTTGAGCAAACTCGAAGTTCAAATCAAAATCTTTTTTTTTATATATATATATATTTATGATTTGGATTCAAGTGTTACATTTTTTGAATTTTGAATTGAATACTATATTTATTATTTGGAACTTTAGGTTTTTGAATATTCGAAAAATTTATACTTTATATGTAATCCTACCTATTATACATTAATCCTTTACTCATATCCTCAATACTATTAATAAGTCGAATACCCTATACATGGGGTATTAACTCATATAGGGGTGTTCATGGTTTGGATAAAAACCGATGCAAATCGAAAAATCAAACCAAACCGATTAAATGAACCGATTTAATTTGGGTTTTGGTTTGGTTTGGTTTTAGATTGTTAAGAATCGATAGTATTTGGTTTGGTTATGGTTTTGCTCAAAAAAACCCGAAGAAATAATCGAACTGAACCAACAAGTTATATACATAAATTTTATTATTATACATACATAATATATTGTATTCATAAACAATTTTAAAGATTTTATATATGTTTCATCAAAATTTATTTATAATTTACTTATGAAAGAAAAAATGTCCAAGGTGAGAACATTTTTCTTATTGGTTTCATGTATTTGAGTGTCTATGGAAATTCTTTGTGGACTGGAAATGTCATTGTCTCTTTCTTCTATGCCAAAATAGTGAATTTTGAAGTTTTATTCAGTAAATTCAATGATCGAAAGTTCTGTAATGCCAGTCATTCTAACTATTTTTCGTTTGAATGGATTATTGTCACTTTTTTCATGTTTTGAATGAATTGTTTCTTTTATTTTTATGTATGGTTAATAACCGAACCAAACCAAACCAAACCAAAACCGAAAACAATCAAACTGATAAATGTATATTATATTTGGTTTGGTTTAGTTTTGATAATTTTAAAACCGATTAAGTTAGTTTGATTTTGATTTTGACCAATAACCGACCCAAACCAACCCGTGAATACCCCTAAACTCATATATAATGTTAGTAAAATTTACTACTAAGTTATGGCTTTTCCACTTTACTTGGTTGATTGCGGTAAGAATGAGGAATTATTAAGGTAATTTAATATGAATATTTGATTTAGATATTTATTTTTGTAAGAAGAAGAAGCTCAAAATATCCATATCGATTAATTTGAATATCAAACTTATTTGATTGTAATTTCTTTAATTCAAAAATAAAAAATATAAATCAAATTACCGAACTGATTCAAACGGCATGAATGCCTACTCTTAAGCGGTTGTTGAAACTCCTTCTAGTCCGTATTAAGTAAATGGAAACTAGTGATTTTAATCTTTGTATTATTATTTAATTTCCGTTTTAAAATGCTTGAATTATTTAAAGTTTAAGATAATTATTGTGACTTTTATTATACATTTATCCTTCATTTATTTATGTTCTTAACTATTTTACATTTTGTAGGAGTTTCATTTATTTATGTTCTTAACTATTTTACATTTTGTAGGAGTTTAGTTTCGAAATAATGGTAATAATGTAAAACAACCTTTAATTTTTATTCTTAAATATTTTATTGTGAACAATGTGCCATATCCCAATAATTCATTTGCTTGTACTCTCTCCGTTCAATAGTAGTTGTCCACTATACTATTTTGAGATGTCTAACAGTACTTGTCCAATTTATGAAATTAATGAATAATCTTACACTTAATTCTAATTTAACTTATTATTAATTATAGTCATTTTCCTTATTACATTTTTAAGACATTGTACTTATTTTTATTCGGAGGGTGATTCGGTAAATTATCCTTCTATTTACACTTTTTTAAGAAGCGTGCAAAATCAATAGTGGACAAGTATTGTCGGAAAAAAAAAGTATGAACTAGAGGGAGTAATTGATGTTTATTAAAATTTACTTGTAATTAATTTTTTTTAAGTAATGTGATTATACAAATCACTTTTTGAATTCATTAAAAGTACCGAAAAAGTAGACAAAAGTCAAAATGATATTTCTTCATGTCCAAATTCCAATATCCAATAGAAACCAAACGACTCATCAAGCTCATTGTATTTGATCTACACCGCTACTTTATGGATTTTTTTATTTTTTTCCTAAAAGTGGCACCAAACAGTAGCCAACCCACACTGAGCTGAACTCCCAGTCATCCAAAATTCCCACATGTTCCTTCTACTAACTCCTAAACACACGCTGAAATTGAAAAAGTGAATCTTGGCAACTCCTTTTATGGGTACTGAACAGTCTTAATTCTTTGCTTGCTATGACAGAAATGGATCTGCATCTCTTACTTGGGATTTGAGTGTTTTTTTCAAGAACCCCAGTTGAGTAAAGCTGAAATCTTGAAGTGGGTGTTTTTTGTTTTTTTGTTAAAAATGAAGCAAAAGAAGGAGTTGTCTCATAGACCCAAGTTGCTGAAATATGTTTTATTTGGGATGATTGTGTTCTTGGGTTTGGTTTGTCTTTATAATTGTTCGTTTGTGGGTCCGGGTCTTCCTATAGCGCGTGACCCTTTAGCTATTGATGATGGTTCTGATCCAGTTACTGGGATTTCTTACCATGGCCGCATGGATATGGATATGGAAGATCAAGAACTTGAAGTTCCTAAAAGTATTCCTGTATGCATGTAATTCTTGAGTTTTTGGCTTACTGATGTTTGTAAAGTTTGCATTTTGACAGTGGTTTTTTAAGATTTTGATTTGCTTTTCCTTGTTTTGTTCTTCATTTGAACTATTTATTTAGGTTTGTGATATGACCTACTCGGAGTTGATACCCTGTCTTGACAGAAATTTGATATATCAATTGAGATTGAGGCTTAATTTGACTGTTATGGAGCATTATGAGAGGCATTGTCCTCCTCCTCAACGTCGTTTCAATTGTCTTATCCCACCTCCAGCTGGTTACAAGGTCAGCATTGATTGCTTTTTTTCTGGATTTTTGTTAAGGGAGTGTACTAAACCATGAAGGAATTTGGTTATTGATGAGCTTGAATTGATTGTCTTTATTCAATTTATTCACTACTTGTATCGGTTATTGATGAGGTTGAATTGATTCCCTTTACTCAATTTGTTTACTATTTGTCCTCTTGTGCATTACTGAGGTTACTTTTAGATGTTGCTATTGTTATTGTTTCTGTCTAGTTTTGATGCAAGGAGGTCCTTGTTAGATTTCCAGATCCCAATTAGATGGCCAGCTAGTAGAGACCAAGTGTGGAAAGCAAACATACCCCATACACATCTTGCTCAGGAAAAGTCGGATCAAAACTGGATGATTGTGGATGGAGACAAGATAAAATTCCCTGGCGGAGGAACACATTTTCATTATGGAGCTGACATATACATTGCAGCAATTGCAGGGGTAACTAAGCTTAAGTCTACTTATGATGCAGGTTGATTTGTTTATAGGAATTGCATTATAATTCGATGGTCTGGTTATGTTCTTGTGTAGATGCTCAAATTGCCTGGTGAGAAACTCAGCAATGGTGGAAACATAAGAAATGTTCTTGATGTTGGCTGTGGTGTTGCGAGCTTTGGGGCTTATCTTCTTTCCCATGATATTATAGCTATGTCACTTGCTCCTAATGATGTACATGAGAATCAGATACAGTTTGCTTTGGAAAGGGGAATCCCATCTACACTAGGAGTCTTGGGCACCAAAAGACTACCTTATCCTAGCAGGTCATTTGAGTTGGCACATTGTTCACGCTGTAGAATTGATTGGCTCCAAAGAGATGGCATTCTTCTGTTAGAACTTGACAGATTGCTCAGACCAGGTGGTTATTTTGTGTACTCTTCACCTGAAGCTTATGCGCATGATGCCGAGAATCGAAGAATTTGGAATGCTATGTATGATCTATTGAGAAGAATGTGTTGGAGAGTTGTTTCAAGGAGAGACCAAACTGTGATATGGGCCAAACCTCTGAGTAACAGTTGTTATATGAAGAGAAGTCGGGGGACACAACCTCCCTTGTGCATTTCTGGTGATGAGCCCGATGAATCTTGGAATGTACCGATGAAAGCTTGCATCACTCCTTACTCAGCGAGTAAGTATGCAACTGCTATGTCCATATTCTTCAATCCACATCTTGAATGGCTGAACATATATATCATTCTGATAAATGATGAACCATTCTGCTTATACTGTGGCGTCAATAGCCACTTTTGGCTGTGGATTATAAGTGATTGTTTTAGAAGTGGCAACTCACACTTCATAAAAAAAGAAAAATGGATGAAGTGACAGTTCACATAGAACTGTCATTCTCAGTGATTATTTCATTCTATTCAACTACTTCTAGCAAGGAGATCACACATACTTAATATTCTTTTTTAATCTGATAATTTTTATATTATTTGTTATTGAAGAGGTGCATAAGGAAAAAGGGACCGGGCTAGAACCTTGGCCACGGAGGCTTATGGCTCCGCCACCTCGCTTGGAGGAAATTGGTGTCACTTTGGATGAATTCCATAAAGACACTGTAAGTTTCTCAAATCAGTGAAGACAGTATCTCTTTTGGATTTTATTTAATGATTTCTGTTTCTTGTTCAATTTGTCTTTTAACTATTTTCTATATTTGATTTCCCAGAACGTATGGCATGAAAGAGTAGTTGACTATTGGAAGCAGATGAAGTCTGTTATCCTTAAGAACTCAGTTAGGAATGTGATGGACATGAACTCAAACCTCGGTGGGTTTGCAGCTGCCCTAAAGGATAAGGACATTTGGGTGATGAATGTTGCTCCTGTTAATATGTCATCAAGATTGAAAATAATTTATGATCGAGGCTTAATCGGAACAGTTCATGACTGGTGCGTTACTTTCCACTCTTTCAGATATTGTTCTCTTTGCATCCTCGTTCCCCATTCCCATGGATAAGCAGAATAACTGCTCTGTTTTAGTGGTATATGGTCACCCTACTGCTAACTGCTTACTTTTCCAATCTTAGAAATCCAAAATCCATTCTCATTTATTACATATCTAGTGGTCAATAATTGGAAGATTACCAATGATTTGTATGGCTCTTTTTTTTCTTAATAAATTTACAGAAGAGGATCTTGATCTTTATAAAATTACTTAAGTTGAGGATGAAAGAAAATAGAAATAAATAATGATGAATTAATAGTGAACGATATAATGCTAATCCCTCTTTGCTTCTTTCAAGTTTATCCCCATAGCTTGTTAAAGACTTATGCACTTCTTTATAGACTTACATATCTCTCATTCCCCATCTACAATTCTTAGTGTGTAAATTGTAATGTGAACAATAAAATAATAGGTAGATTTATATAGTTGTACGGATAGGAGTTCTGTAACAGATGGAAACGGAAATGAACAAGATTTCAACCTTCTTCCTCAGCTTTCATAGTTCTGTAAAACACATCGATGAAAGAGGTCGGTCTTTTGAAAGAATTCAAAGTAGAAAGTAGGTCACGTCAATGGGATGAAAGGAGCCAGGGGGAAACATATAGAAGCATTTTTGTTGCTTGAATGATGATGTTGTAGTCTTGCAATATATACCCCTTCTATGTTGCGCCTTCAAATTACTGAATACTAACCATCATATATAATTAGGTGTGAATCATTTTCAACGTATCCACGCACGTATGACCTCCTTCATGCGTGGATGATCCTCTCAGAGACAGAAGATCGAGGCTGCAGCATCGAGGATCTACTTATTGAGATGGACCGTATGCTAAGGCCAGAAGGATTCATCATTATAAGGGACAAGCCTCATATAATAAACTCCGTAAGAAAATTCATGCCTGCTCTAAAATGGGATGGATGGTCATCAGAGGTAGAACCACGGACTGATGCTCTCTCCTTGAGCGAAGAAAGAATTCTAATAGCAAGAAAGAAATTTTGGCGCGAGAAGTTAACAATTTAGTGCATTTGTTTTGGTATGTATGTTTCTCTTCGCGAATGGACTCCTCGTTTCATTCATGGTCCCATAATGTAGCAGCAAGTCATTGCTAGGAACTGGCTGAGGCATCGTCATGGCCAATGTGTTGTATATGTCTAATTTATCAATGACAATGTTGGGACTATCTTTCTATAGTTTTTAACTGATTTTCGGGTCGGAAAATTCTGTGTTTCAGGAATGAAAGCTGGATTCTGGTGGGGAAACTCTGATCTATTGTTGGCTTTTGGAACCAAAAAAAAGTGTTCCCAAAAGATCAATGTACTATTGAATATATACATATGCAAAGGAGTTGGGAGGTGGGGTTAGAGTTATGTTCTTCACAGCAATATTTTGTCCTTAACTTTGGTCCATAAAATATACTAAGAAATTAAATATTAACTTGTGAAAAGTAGGTTTTACATTTTAAATTTTTTAATATGGTGGTTTCCTTGTTTTATTTCTCAATTAAATTATTTCCAATTGCATCTGTGCTATGTTATAATTTATGCAGTCCAAAAAAGGTTATTCTAGTTCCAAGTATATCTTTTGTTGTATCTAATGATTTGGATGGCCAATTTACTTTCTACTTTTCTTAGATATATGTCAAAGTGCAAGGATATGAAGTTATGTTCCTTTAATTGCATTGTAAGCTATTTACAAAAATATTAGATAGTACTTCACAGTAACACTTTAATTGAATTCCCAAGTTTCTGTTCATTCATGAAACTTAATTGGGGACGTAGATGGATCGAGTTGGTTCAGATCTTTTTCCAATATCTTTTGGTTTTGATAGTTTTTAGTTGTGATAATGAGTTCAACTTTTTGCACGATAGAGTAAAAAAAAGGTTTACATTATCATGTTAGCCAAAAGATATCAATATATAACCTTGCATAATTTTAAAAAGTAAAATAAGTTACTTGCTATAATAATATATAAAAGTACTCAATAACGTAAAAATTATTTAGTTAGTTGAGCACAATAATAAAATAGATGTCCAAACTTAATAGTTATAGTACATATATGCAAATAATAATTCGACACTCCACAGAGCGAGCTCAAATAAAAAAATAATTTTTTTAATCGTTAAGAGTTAAACTTCCATCTTGAAATTCTTAATGATATTGTGTGTAGACCGCGTCATAATGTGTATAAAAATTTCTTCATTTTTTCTTGGAAACCAAAGGAGGTTGATAACCGTAATTACTTTTATTGATTTAGGCGCTAAAAAAATTACTTCTGAAGATATATTTCATTTAAAAATAATTATTTCTTTCTTGAAAAATCGACCTCTTGAGATTGATTTTTCAGGTGGATTTCATCAACCGTTAAGAAGTAAACTTCTATCTTGAAATTCTTAATGATATTGTTTATAGACCGTGTACCAATCTCTATGAACTTCATAATTTTAAAAAATAAAACATGTAATCTTCACAATATATAAAAGTAATCTACTAGTGTAACATTTCTTTATATCTATATATAGATATATAGGTGGATATTAATTAAAGTCAATACAATAAATAAATGTTCAAAATAACAATACATAATAAATAGGCATTCAAAACAACATGAGATTTTCTTGCTCATTCAGTTTGCTTCTTCCACAATTCACAACAAATTAACAATAAAATCACCCACCCAAACAGAGTTGTGACTCTTATTTTTACCATGGACACTCCACGGAGCTAGCTTAAATGAATATATAATTTCATCAATCAATCGTTACGAGGTAAACTTCCATCGTGTAATTCTCATTATTTATCTACGAAAACTATCATACAAAAAAAAAAAAAAATTTTTTTTTTGAAGATTTAGCCTAAGAGATCAATCACGTACCTTCATTTTTTCCAAGTTGATCGATGGATTCTCAAATGGCTGCTTCTACAGATGCTGCACAAATCGTGTTGAAGGTACCTTTTGTTATTGGTAAGGCTTCATCCTCGCGAGATGAATTCAACCTTTAAGGTTCTTATCATTGAATCCGTTGTTAAAATATTGGTTCAGAATTAATGTTTGTTAATTTTTGCACATGTATACCTATGTTTGTAATCGAAAAGATGAGTGCCTAACTTATTTGAAATTATGCACACCGAAATTTGCAAAACTACTAAAGAGTGCATATTTGTATAATGTACTATGCCAAGGACGCCTCAATAAAATTGTATTGCAGAAAGGATTAATCGCACTTGGACTAATCGTAGACATACATACACAATGCATTAGCCTACTCTTGATATGCAATTAAATGTGAAATAACCTAATGTTAATAGCTTGAATAGCGTGGAATGGATATAGAGAATTCGTATATCTGAGCTCAACTAGTTTGGGATTGATGTGTAGTTAATTGATTGGTATCGATTGATCAGAGATAACTGATATTGGTCCTTGTATGCCTGAGAATATCTTATGTCAAATTGGTATTTCATATCTATATGTGCATTCTTTATAATCATTAAGGAACTATTGAAATTGTGAAGGTGTTGCTGGAGGGACTGCATCTGGCAAAACAACTGTTTGCAATATGATTATTTCACAGCTTCAGAATCAACGAGTCGTACTAATCAGTCAAGTAATATCTTGCTCACTTTTCTATCTGCTATGCACTTTCACTTTGTAATATGAGAATTGCCTCTTGATGTCCTATTATTGTATCCTACTTAAATGTCTTTTGATGGTAAATGTTGGTATTGTGGAGAGTTCATTCTTGTTATATTTAACTTTTCATCACCGTCTAACATTTGATCAACCTAATGTTAACTTTCAGGAAGCATTTTATCATCCATTAACTGCAGAACAGTTGGAGAAAGTTCACGAACACAACTTTGATCATCCTGGTAGGGAATTAACTAATTTTGAAGTTTCAAACTAGATGGTAAATGTTGCTAGAATAGGTTTTCTATTGAACACCGTCTAAGGTTGGTTTGTTTAATCATGTATTCTTTTCAGATGCCTTTAATACAGAGCTTCTGCTTTCGTGTATGGAAGAATTAAAACATGGACGAGGAATTAACATTCCTAATTATGATTTCAAACTCCATAGGAGCGTGGAACCAGCTCGTGTGGTAATATATTCATCTTCCTTGGCCAAGGATTTAAGTTGAAATTGCATGTTGTTCGTATTGTGACTTCACAACTTTCATCTAGAAGCTTCATACTTCAAATGCAGATGATTCTCTATTACATTTTTTCTATTTGAATGCAGGTCAATCCCTCAGATGTCATCATTTTAGATGGAATTCTTATTCTGCATGATCCTCGTATACGTGATCTCATGAATATGAAAATCTTTGTTGATTCAGGTTCTTCTCTAACTGAAATTCTCTAATTTGAAGCCTTTTAGGACATATTTCCAACATTGCCCCGTAAACTGTTAGTGTGTTCATGAATGCAGACTCTGATGTACGTCTGGCCAGGAGGATACGACGAGATACTGTTGAGAGGAACAGAAACATTCTCAATGTGCTAGATCAGGTTAGCAGTTCATTTGCACTTTACAGTTGTGGATTTTCTGTTGGTCCTAAATTGTGTGGCAGGTCACCAAGTTAGCAGTTCTTTTGTTCTTAAGACTGATTTTATTTTTTGAATAACCTTTTGCTACTCTTACCTGTGATGCTAATTTGATATCAGGTAGTTGTGGAGTTTTATATGATTCACCAGACTTTGGGTTAATAACTTGATTCATTTGAAAATTTGAATTCTTCAAGTTGATTATGCTATCTGATATGCAGTATTCCAAACATGTTAAACCTGGTTTTGAGGACTTCATTCGTCCAACAAAGAAATATGCTGATGTAATAATTCCTCGAGGAGCAGATAATGATGTTGCAATCGATTTGATAGTTCAACACATTCGTACAAAGCTTGGACAACATGATCTTTGCAAAATATACTCAAATGTATTTGTTATACAGTCTACATTTCAGGTACGTATCTGTTAAGGTTGTTTTCTTGATCGCGGTCCAATTCTCAAGTACTGTACTGTACATTTTTGAATATGCTAAAGTGTCTTGATCTGTGCTTCAACATTCTTGAAGACCAAGGTGGAACAGTCCCATAACACTTGTCCATTTTCTAGATACGTGGGATGCATACACTTGTGCGAAATGCAAAAACAACCAAGCATGACTTTGTTTTTTATGCAGATCGCCTTATTCGCTTGGTATGATTGTTTTTATCTCATGTACTCAATGAATCATCTTCTGAGCATTGCTGTGAAACATTTTTTTTTATTTTTACTCATTTTTGAGGTTGTGGAGCATGGTCTTGGTCATCTTCCCTTTACTGAGAAGCAGATAATCACTCCTACAGGTAACTTTCCGATTCTCACCTGATGTGTTCAAAATTTATAAACAGGAACTTGGTGAAAGAATTATCTTTTCCTCTTTTGCAGGATCTGTTTATAGTGGAGTCGTTTTCTGTAAACGTTTGTGTGGAGTCTCTATCATTAGAAGGTACCTAGTTATTTCCTAGTCTATTATAGAATGAGTAGCATTTACAACATATCAGACAGTTTCTGTTCGATGTTACACTCCAATTATCAAGAATAGCTTGTCATTCAAATGCCTTTTCGATAAACAAATTGGAAGTTGACATGGTTTGTGTTGCAGTGGAGAAAGCATGGAAAATGCATTGAGAGCTTGCTGCAAGGGAATCAAAATCGGAAAAATTCTAATCCACGGGGAGGGTAAAAGTGGAAGGCAGGTTAGTCATATATACCAATTACCAGTCTCTTTGCTTAATGTTAGAAATGCTTCTGTCAAAAATATGATGAACTAAAATAGTTCGACAGATATGATTCTGACACTCAATAAAGTAGAAACCGCATAAAGAGTTGTCTTCAATCCATACAGACACAATTTCTCCTTGTTCAAACTTATTATAATCTCCGATAACAGAGGATTTAATACTAGCAAAACATAAAGAACAAAATGTAGTTCCTTACTGATCCGAGCAACATTACAGTTGATCTATGAGAAGCTACCATCAGATATTGCAAGTCGACATGTATTGCTGCTTGATCCAGTACTTGCTTCAGGTTGGAAAATGCTTTTCTTTCTATCAATCAATCAATAAATAACTTTGTCTACTAATTAACCAATAACTTACTTTCCAGGGAATTCCGCGGTGAAAGCTATATCTGTGCTTCTTAGTAAAGGTGTACCAGAATCCAACATTGTTTTCTTAAACCTTATATCAGTAAGTAATCATAAAAAACACAACTTAAAAGTATTTTGAAACAAATTCAGTTTACCAAAACGACTAATATTTGGATGCAGGCCCCTGAGGGACTACATACTGTATGCAACAAATATCCGCGATTGAAGATTGTAACATCAGAGATTGATACAACACTTAACAAGGACTTACATGTGATTCCTG